GAAGTTAATTATCTCCGTGAGGGATTGAGAAATTGAGATGTTTGAATGCCTGTTCGGTCAGTAGTAGCATTCTCGAGCCACTTGGTATGATGGGCGTTAAAGTCACCAAACACGAATATGTGAGCAAAAGGGTGGAGAGAGAGGGCCTTGTCTATGCTCGCAGATATGATATCGAGTATCCCACAGTCTTGACAGGATGGAGAGCGATAGAGGAAGAAGAGATAGCTTACAGCATTGAGGAGAGATAGTCGGAGACACATGCACGAATGGTCTGGCGATTCGAGAGACAACTCTCTGGCCAGAGGGAGATGGTCCTTGACATAGACACCAAGGCCGTGCATGTGGGTTAGAGAGTCTTTCCTGAGGAGAGGAAGGTAGCCGGGGATCGAGAGATCAGAGGAGGGAATAGACGAGACAAGGTTTGTCTCACACAGAGTCAGTATATCCGGGCAGTTTGCAGCGAGGAAAGATTCCATACTGCAGAAATTTGTTCTAATGCCACGGATGTTGGAGAACGAAATGTTGAAGGTTTAGGTGATTGGGGGGGGGGTCTGGTTTAGGTTTACGTTTTTGGTTCTTTTGAGTCTTCATATGGAGTAATTGTTGGAAGATGAGAAGGCCTGAAGTAAAAGAAGCAGAGGGTTTTCGACCGCGACATGAGCAGAGAGGAGTTGGCACAGCCTGCATCATAATGTGGCCTCAGGGTTGCCCACCGGAGATGACTGCGCGTCATGGCACTACAAACACCCCGGGTATTATACAACTGTTGATCAGAGCGGCCACTCAAGACGTTACTCAAGAGTTAGGGCTCCTAACTACCAGTCGGAAACAGCAACCAGTGAACTGTCAACCGTGTACCCTCAAAATGAAGAGGCAATGCCACTAGACTGCACACATCACGGGAGAAACACATCAGCACTAGTATAGGGGCCAGAGAGAGTTCCGGGGACCCCTTCTTAGACAAGAAACAAGGTGAGCCTCTGCTCATGTCCAGGAGAAGGGGGAGGAGTGCTGACCGGGTGGTAGGAGGGTCTACCTACTCCTATTACATATAACACATACAACAACGACAAAAAACAAACAGAGGGATAAGGGCAGGGAAGTAGTTGACATAATGCCCAGGCTGACACAAGTTGTATGTTCAGGGGGATAGGATGAAATTTATTAGTATTTTTATCCTTACACAACACTAGGTTTTAATTTAGTATAAGTCCCATTGTTCTATTCTAAAGAGAGAAATGAAAAAAAATGATTATCCACCTTTTTGCGGATATGGCATAAACGTTAGCTCACTTGTGGCAGTGGGTGATATTGGTAGTCCGCATGCATTCTGATGGTCACCAGTGAGTGTTCCAAGTTAGTACATTTTATCTAGCAAAAGACAAGGCCACTGGACCATAAGAATACTGAAGACATACTAATGCCTGGTGAAGAGACTTTTTTTCCCTTCTTTCGAGTGGGGGGGATTTCCAACTACACAAACATATACAGTGTTATAAGTTTGGTTAGAATGGTTAGACCAAGTATCAATGTTAAATTAGTCGCACAGTGTTGGGGGTGGGATAGAACAAAGAAAAATAGATAAATAAATAAAATAAATACATAAATAAATACACGAATACGTTGGAATATATATATCTATATCTATATATATATATATATAGAGAGAGAGGGGGAGAGAGAGACAGACAGAGAGACAGAGAGATGCTTTTGGATGCGTCTCTGGAAGAACGAAATTATACTCACACATGGCAGAAAGTGATTGTCCGCTTGCATTCTGATGGACGCCAGTGAGTGTACAGCCAACCCTATCTACACATATATGTTTTCACGTAAATGTGTTCACACATACGTATATACACACATATGTATACACCCATACTAACATATTTATCTATTTTTATGCATAAATACTTTGGCACATATTTGACGGGTACATTCCTAAATAAGTACTTAGATAACGTGTAAGATGCCCTCAAATTGATTATTGACTGTATAACTGTAAAAGAGCACTTAGGAGTGTTTTCCATCGAGTGTACCCAGACACATACACAACGCGTAATTCATGCACCCACGCATGAGAGAACACAACATATAGCGCATGAATACACACCTGTACCTATTTACACAGACGGAGGCACACATGTTTGCATATAAAAAAATATATGCCCCAACACAGATACAAAGGCAAAGAAGTACAATAGTATGCTTGTACATACACGTACATGAAGAAGAGAGATATGTAAGCGATAGATACCCAGGTAAGAGGGTTTTTTTTTTGTAAAGTGAGGTTACATGTGATGAAGGGAGGGGAATTACATGAAGGATCATAGGTGGAAATTCTATGCGATTTATTGACCATTAGTATTTTATGTATACGAAAGGGTGAAAACGAGAAGTGATAAGTATGGGAAGCTGTTGATATAAACCAATGGCTTCTGTTATCAATTATAGACATTTGAGTATATTTGTGGAGTTTTCATAGTGAAACATTATATATTGCGTTGTGTATGTGTCTGGGTACACTCGATGGAAAACACTCCGAAAACCCTAGTTTGAGTTGATTTTCTTTAAAAATTATGTTATTTTAAAAATCCGAAGTGATTCTGTTCGTTTCGTCAATTAAGTAATCAAATATCAACGAACTACTTAATCGACGAAACGAACCTGTCTTGAAATGCAGGCATTTATATATATGTACCTATGTATTTTTTTCCTGTAACCGGATCACCGACATTAATTATAACCTACTCATATTTGCTATCGATTTAATCTGACATAGATTGTTAAGTTGGTATTGAATAGTTGTGATTGTTTATGCATTAATTTTGCATGGACTCTTAATTCATTATGTTTATGTAAGTATGCATGCATGTTTGTATGGTTGTTTCTTTTCTGATCACGAGGCCTGGGTTCGAATCTTACCATGGTCGATTTGTCAGGAAGGAAACTTCCTGATGTTATCGGTACGGATCGAGGTCGATCCCAGCACCTTTGGAAAGTGCCTGAAAACCAAACCATGGGTAGACGGAACTCTTGAAAAACGTCGATAGCTGTGTTAGCCACAAGTCATCGTGACTGAGGGCTTGAGCGTGCTGGCCTTGTTCAAATTGTGGAACAAGCTCTCTTCCAGAATCTGTAACTAAGGTCTGTTCAGCATAGTTGCAGTATAAACTACAAATGTGCCTGAGCGAGTGTCTGCAATAGGGATTGGCTAGCCGCCCTGGTAGACGGGTATCCTCGAATACGAGTGGCTAGCTATTATTATTTATTATGGTTGTTTTTACATCTGTTTATATGGGTGTATAAGCTGGGTATAAATATTTGCGCATGTGTGTTTGTGTGTTAGTTTGTATATGTGTATGTATGCGTTTGTGTGTGTATATATATATATATATATATATATATATATATATATATATATATACACAATAAAACCTACCTTCTTGAAGCTATATACATAAAACAGTTGAAACCTAACCTGAACAAAATAAACTATGAAAACTCTACAAATATACTCAAATGCCTATAATTGATAACAGAAGCCATTGGTTTATACCAACGGCTTCCCATACTTAACACTTCTCGTTTTCACTCTCGCGTGATCTTGTGTGATGTCATGAGCGGCGGTGCAATTTTCGCTTCCAGCGTCTCGTATGCACGAGTTTGTCGTTGCTTGGAAATCTTCCATGCAAACAAAAACAGACTATCATTATTGCCATGTCCGTGTATTGTTTAATATATTGTAATGTTATTGTCATCTTTGATGATGGTTTATGTAAGCCGAAAACTTAGGATTAAAAAACATGTATCAATATGGTGATTTTCTTTCGTCTTTCAATGATATTGTTATTAAGCATATCAGACGATATGAAAGAAATTTGCATAAATTAAATAGACAAAACTTGAAACATGTGTAACAATATTTAACATTGCGTACGAACGAAAAGGGTTAAAGCAAAACGATTTTAAATTTTTGTCAGGATATGGGAATAGATGTATGAATTTTGTTGAAAAAAGTTACACAAGGTGACTTTGCTAGACACAGCTGACAGGTCGGGAGCCAGAGGTTAACGTCGGCTGTTGAAAGATGTCCGGCTTGACTATCTGCTGAGAAAAAATGTCGGCCAAAACTTTCCCTGAGAATGAAAAAATTTAAAAGCAGAAGATGACGTCAGAAATGCTGGCATCATATAATGGCTCCTCTCGAAAGAGGAGGGGATCTTCCAAAATTGGAAATGTGAAATAGAAAACGAAAGAAAACGACTGGTTGAATTTTGGGATATTTGCATAAAACCAACCTATTCGTCCACACCACACCAGTTGAAAGGGATACTCATAAATACAAGTGCCCACATGGGGCAAAGTTAGTTGGAGTTTGGATTTGAAGAGAGTTGGGGTCTGTTAGTCAGAGGAGTTGGGGGTAGTTGCCGTTGGAGTTGCAGTCGGAGGCGGTCGGGGGAGTTAAGAGATTTCTGATATAACGCTGTTTGCCAACCTGATAAAAAGAATAATAATAATTATCTGCTGAAGAAGAAAGACTCCAACGAAATCCTTGTGTCGTACGTGAAAGTACAAACAATAGTGCTTGAAGTTAAAACCAGTTATCGCCGAAGAAAAACTCCGACGATGAACCTTGTGCTGTCCGTGAAAGCACAAATCACAGTATTTGAAGATAAATCCAGTTGTCAAGTCTGGTCACTTTTCCCAAATGCTACCCGCAATTTTCGTTCCGTCGCCAATTATTAGAACGCGTTGGGAAAAGAAGAAAAAGAACAAAGAACTGTAAATATATTTTATTCTGATATAAACATCATATCGTGACTATTTTGGGCGTCGTTCATTTTATTTTTCAATTTTGTATGCACGTATTCATCTCCTTGGTTTAGCGTGGTTAAGATACTCCAGTGGAAATTCGGCTTGACCCTCTTAAGAGACTGGGTAAGTGAGGTCACAGTTGAAGAGGTCAACTTTCAGACCAGCTGCTGTGTCAAAGGCCATCAACGACCGACGAGTGGGCTGACGGTTTGTTCTCTGATACCGGGATCGATCCTGACCAACCGAGCAGGCCGGGATTGACCCTGAGTACCACCATACCTGGTGACCGAAGCAGACCAGATACGGAACGCCGTCTTATAATTGGTCGCCGCGGCCAGACTGGATCTCCTGAATACATCATAATCGGTGGCTGTGACCAGGCCGTAGCCCTGAACCCCATCATACATGCATCAATATATATATATATATATATATATATATATATATATATATATATATATATATATATGTATATATGTGTGTGTGTGTATTAGTGTGTATATATGCATATATTTGTGTATATGTGGGTACGTGTATGTATTTTTATATTTGTTTATATGTCAGTTTTTTGTATGTTTGTGTGCGTATTTCGTTTGGACACGTGAGTTTGGTCTTTTGGTTTTTATATATGTATGCGTATGTGTGTGTTTGTATATATTTGTGTGCAGTGGCGGAAAAGGTGGGGTGGAGGGGGGACCCTGGGTGGCACTTTATGGCAGCGACATTTTGCCGGTGAAAAAGAATTGAAGATGTGAGCATTCATATCTATGTTATGGTGCTTCAAAAAAGAAATCTAATATTTTATTTTTTAATTCAAATTTTTTTTCACATTCATTCCTTTTTGTTTGGAAGATCACAAACACATGACATGTCGCCCTGTTGGCGACCTCAGCTCTTAAGCTCGAGCGACTGTCTGAGATGCCAGTACTTTGATCTGACCCTGCTGTGGGTGACCTCTTACTGAGACTACAAGATCACACCAGGACATTTCAAGGGACATTCCCACTATATTGTATATTTTGTACAACTATATATTTGCAGCTCCACGATGTTTTTGTACTGCGATAATCGACCTAAATAATTTTTGGATCGTTTTTAAATTATATTTAATAAAAGTAAAGTGTCCGAAGATGTTTTTTCAGTGATTTCAAAAGCAATTGTGAACATGTATGCAATTTTTGGTATTTCATTCATTAATGAGTTAATTTTATAATGAATAGATTCTTTGATTTGAAAAAACCTGAGAAAATATTTTTTACCACTTAACAGGAGGATTTCAACGTTTGGTCATTTTGTCGGAGTTAGCTCCTCTTTAGTTTCCTAATTGTCACTAGGGGTCACTCTCCCTATACTATAAATACTGGGCGACCTCTTGCCTCGTTCTCTTTCCTTCAGGCCTCGTGCCGCATCTCACCTCGCGTGGAGGTGAGGTAAATCCTCTTTTTCATTTCAGCGACTACAATGTAAACTCTCTTAGAAGATTCGCGTCTTCCCATTTGTTGGAGACGCCATGAACACTATACACACATACACGTACGTACGAACATTCACCAAAATACGAACATTCACCAAAGAACAAACACCAATGTTATACACACAGAAATGTTATTGTCCATTGTAAGATTGTTTTGTTTAATACATATTTTGTTTATATATATATATATATATATATATATATATATATATATATATATATATATTGTTTGTCTTTTTTATCTTCAGTTGGACTTAATTCAAGACCGCCATTTTCTTGTAGCTAGACCTTCTTCTAGCAGGAAATATTAACGCACGTGTTTTCTTTTCATCTTCACCCCCGGTCCTCTACAATTTGAATAAAAAAAAAAATTCCAGTCCCTACATTTCTAGAAAGATCAAAAACGAGAAGACCACATATAAAAAAGGATTAAATTTACGATGTGAACACCCTGAAAAAGTTATTTGAAAATTTTAATTTTGTTTTTAAAAAACTCAAAAAAGAATTTTTATACCGTGTTTTCTTCTAAAGGAGTTTTTAAAAAAATGTTTTTTTTAGGGGGAGGGGGGGTTGAACCAAAAACAAATTTTCTCTGGTGGAGTTTGTTGCAGTTTTTTGGGTATGTATACTAGTGAGCTAGCCTAAATTAGCTGACTCATTTCATAGTTCACCAATAGAAGGGTTAACCAATCAGAAAACTCAAAATATTCAATGCGACGTGTATAAAGGCAGCCATTTTTTTTCCTCCCAAATTGTCTGCACTGCCAACCTGATATCGAAGACTTAAAGAATTACTTAACAGCCGCTACTTTCTCTGAATCTTCACTGCCGACCTCTGATATTGAACAGATTACGGACTTCACTTGATTCCATATTCAGAGGCTGCGGCAAACATGGTCAACGCAGTTTACTTACATTTTATTCACTTAAAAATTTTACAATGAATTTTGAAAGCAATCGAACACTTCTGCCTAAGATTAAATATTTGTAATTAAATAAAGATTTATTTAATCCATATAAAAATGTATGATTAAAACTCCCCAATATAGGATAATGTCGGAGTTAGCTTCTCCTTAATTCCCTAATTGCTCACTAGGGGTCGCTCTCCCTACACTATAAATACTGGGCGACTTCTTGCCTCTTTCTCTTTTCTGCGGACACATTTAAAAATGTAATCTCTCGTAGAAATCCGCGTTTTGCCCACTTGTGGGAAAACGCCATGAAACACACATACACGTACGTACAAACATTCACCAAAGAATAAACTCTTTACGTTCACACACAAACACAAATGTTGATGTCTTTGTCACTTGTAAATTTGTTGTTTAATACATATATTTGTTGACATATATATATATATCGGTCTTGTTTGTTTTCTTTACATCTTCGGTTGGACTCAATTTTCTTGTAGTTGGACCTTCCAGCATGAATAAACAGCACGTGTCCCTAATTTAACAACACTCAAACCTACACGGTCCTCTACAATAGCACATTTTCCGAGATTTTAATATATTTAAAAATAATTACGGACGATTTTTCATTCAGATTAAAGTTGCTTGAAGAAATAAAGAAAAGTCGTCTTTTCTTTGAGGTCTTAAGGTTTTTAAGATTATAATTATAGAAAAATAAAATTGGTTTTCTTTTTTAAAGTAGCACTCCTTCCCAAAACAGAGGTCTTTTGGGCGGAAAATTAAAATTAAAATAAAAATAAAACATCGCATTTTTCAAATGTTTTTGTTACATTATATTTTATATTTCTCTCATATTGTCCGTGAAATTTGAAAATATTTGCATTATTATTATGTTTAATTAATAATTTGATTAATTGAAATTTCCGAAGTTTTTTATCACGGAATACTGATTAGATTTAAGAGCAAAATTATTGAATCAAAATAAGTATTATAATTTATTTTGATCCTAAAAGATAACGCACATGGGTTTTAAGAAATATTTTGGTTTCGTTGTCGCATTGATGTTTACCCATGATATATTTTATGAGTCTGGGGTGCCAATCCTGGGTCAGACCACCATATACACTCATAGCATCTAGACACAGCATTGGACTGAGTATTTATCATTGACAAAAACCTGTTAACTTCAAAACGTAAGATTTATTCTTTTTCTTTATTTTAAGAATTGAAACATTTTAGAATAAAACAGCCTTCATTTAAATTTAAAAATTAGGAAGAAGCTATTTTGCCTATGTCTGCACAATAACGACGGAGTCGTTATCTTTTTTCTTTTTTCAACATAACTACTATGACGTTATGAAAGAAGTATAAACTAAACAACAGTTTGCGTATCTTGAAGATAACCAAATAAGTAATCTCAATTTTCAGCTTATTTTTCAAGGAATGTTCTTTTCATAGTAGCAGCAGGAACCAGCCTCGTACGCTGATTTGATCTGTTTTTTGCGGGAAATTCTGAAATGTTTGATTTGTTTTCAATTCATTGTTAAAAAGTTTTCAAGTCATTGTTTAAAAAAAAGTTTTTAAATTTTATTATTAAAAAAAGTTCATTGATATATATTTATTGAAAAATGCCCAAATTAATTCATTGTAAAAGAAAATTATTTAAGAATTCAGATGAAAAACAGATTTATTTTCCCGAAAAAGCAGATAAAAAGAGCGTATGAGACTGACTCATGTTGCTAATTTGAAGGCGTCATTCCTTAAAAATAGCTGAAAAATTCTAAAAAAAAAAAAAAAAAGTGCGTATCTTGAAGATAATAAATTATTTGCTTTTTTATTGGAAAACATTGATATAAAACATTAGACCAGTAGAAGAATTCCTCCGGACTGGTCACCTGTAAAATCTCCACCCAGACTGGTAATGGGTAGATTTTTTAAACTTGTTATTAAATATTTCTGTCCTTATTAATTTAGTTTCATTATCATCTTTCATAACGCCGTAAGGTTAAAAAAAAAGTATACGCAGACAATATAATGAGGAGGTATTTCTTCTTTTCTTTTTATGTGCCATCGTAGGCGATCATGGCTCTCCACCTCCCTCTATCACTTGAAGCTCGCAGGAAGTTCCTTCCCCCTGATTCCTCCCCTAGACCACGTTCTGTCATCTACCTGCTCAAGCTTGCCAGGTATGTCACGCGCTGCTTTCCCTTGTCTCTCTCTCTCTCTCTCTCTCTCTATTCCACCCGTGAGTATCAGATTCCTCAGGCTCTTCTTCCTCATTTTGTGTCCCAGAAACTTCAGCTGCCTCTTCCTGATGTTAAGTATAAGCCTTCTCCTTGTTTGCAACCTCTCTAAGACCTCATCGTTGCTCACATGTTCGGTCCATGATATCCTTAGCATCCTTCTGTAGAACCACATCTCCGTCGCCCAGAGTCTCTTTTTTTCATCTTTGAGGAAATCCTCCAACATTCGCTGCAATAAAGGAGGGGAGATGTCACATAGCAGCTCAGTATTCTTTTCTTTGTTACCAAAGAAATCCTCCTGTCTTGCAATACTCTGTCCAGCTTTTGGAATGTGTCCTTGGCCATCCCAATATGTCTACGGATCTCAGTGTCGCACTTACCGTCCTCTGTCAAGATGCTTCCCAGATATTTAAACTTCTGCGTCTCCTTGATTCTGCTGTTCCCGACCTGCAAGTCGCATTTCGGGCTCTTCTTACTGATGACCATGCATTCTGTCTTCTTGTATTATATGCTTAGTCCTTTCTTCTCACTCTCCGTAGATGTTGTGATTTCTTTTCTGTGTCTGCTATCAGAACTGTGTCATCTGTGTATCTTATGTTGTTAAGATTGTGGCCGCCAATGCTAAATCCCGGTAGGGTTTACAATTCTCTTAGAATTGCCACGCTGTATAGGTTGAACAGGTCCGGTGAGAAGATACATCCTTGCCTTACTCCTCTTTCTAATTTTGTATATTCACTCAACTCCTTCCCCATGCTTCTGTATGCATGCTGTTTGCTGCCAGTATAGGTTCTTGATCATTTTGATATCCCTCTCGAATATATCAAGGTTGCTGAGCAGTTCCATCAGATCCTTGTGCCGTACTATGTCGAAGGCCTTTGCGTAGTCAATGAAACATAAGTACATGTCCTTCTGCATCTCTCTTGATGATATACATTCTGAACATGAATATCGTGTTCCTTGTTGCGGTGTCTCTAACGAACCCGCACTTTTCTTATCATCCGTATTCTGTTGAATAGAGAGTAGCTAGTTACTTTACCTAAAACATTAATTGTCAGTCAGTTCTCTGGAGATTAAGTTAATGTTTAATCCAAGTATCAGAGGTGAAAATTTCTTATAAAATTTTAATGATTTTTTAATACAAATGTTCAGTTATTTTTATTACGACAATTACTATGGATTAAATTTTAAATTATTATATTGAATATAAGAATGCAATAAAAAGGGATAAGGAAAATGTATAAGAAAAAACAGGATAGTGAATTTTAAAAATTGAATTTAAGAAAAGATTAAACAATCATTGACTGTATAGGATAAACACCTGTTATTATTTACTCCTGTTTTTAAGCAACACTTCCCTATAACATTATAAGATGCGAATGGATCACGAATGTGTCTTGCTAAGTTTTCAGCCTTGAGTCAGATTGTATCTTAGTACAATAAAATTTCCCTGTGCCGTTAAGTATGCTATGTTCCTATTTATTTAATTTTCTATTTTTTTTCATCGATTAGAATGTGTAAACGGCAAAAACTGAGTAATGAGGCTTACCACAAGCTGAAAGCTACCATAGAATGCGAGGAAAGAAAATGTGCTGCATCTTTACAGAAGAAATATGTAGCTAAAGCAAAATGCAAAGACGAGGATGCTGAATGTACATCAGAACTAGGAGGGGGAGGGACATGGAGGAGACAAATATAGAAATAAAAGTTGAAGAGGCATTTCCTGCAGGAATTAACGCTTTTAAAGAAATTGAAAGAAGAGAGAGCTCCAGTACATGCGTTAAAGACAGGCATGAATATGAAGAAGGAACTGATGAAGTTACTGGAAATAAAAAAAATAGAACAGGCAAACACAGAGATTGCTGTATACGAAGACATGCCTCCTTATGATCAACCAATCACAACGTGGGATAGGGCAGGTCAGGACCGAAGCGATCACTCCATCGATCAGCTGTGGAACTGGACGTCTTGGACGACCAGGGAGGGTGCAGAGTTACAATTGGTTCCCGTGAACCATAAGTCTGACTCTGAAGCCGTTACATTGGTGACCATACACTTAGCGTAAATTTTCTTTCATACGTACAATAACCGTTTTTAATTACGCATAGATCGATCAACCATTGAAAATACTGTAAAATGTCTAACAAAACATAAAATATAAAGTTTAAAACATTTTCTAAAAACAGAACTGTGATGATGCCCCAGACTTAGCATAAGCCACTTTTAAGACCCCAGCCGCTGTCCCTAACAAAGAACAAAGCCCAAGCACTATGCATGTTTTTTGGTTTTTTTTTTTTTACAATGAAGATGTACAATTCTGCCAATTTTCACCATAAAAATGAACTGTTATGTTTGAAGTCATTTAAATAAAAGGAAAATATTTTAAATATGTTCTATCGAAAAGGTACGCGAATCGAAGGAGTTCTCAGCGAATAATTTGTACATATGTTCTTCAGAAAAACAAGCAAATATTCGGGGTTTCCGCGAATAACAAGTACATATGTTCTAAAGAAAAATCCGCGAATGTGTGAAACCGCGAATGCGTGTGTGTGTGTGTGGGGGGGGGGCTCACTATACTGCCTTAATCAGAATACGCCAAAAATTACAAAAAGTGGGACAAGCAGTGAATGTTATTGGTTGAATTCTGAGATATTTGTGGAGGGAAAAATTCTTTTCTCAGAAAGAAATTTAAAAGAATGTTAAAAACAAACTTCTTTATTTGGATTGCAAATAAAAATAGAAATCTCATCTTATTAAAAGTTGATCTTAACTATTTAAAAAAAATATAATTTGATGGTACTTAAAAGAATGACAGAAAGAAATACATATATTTTGAACGTTACTAATTTACTTCATAGAGTAGGACAATTTTTTAAAATTCCTAAATAGTAAATTCAAATGGATTCTATTATGAATAAAAAAAAAATTTAATGTATAACTGAATTTATTTTCAAAATAGTCTGAAATTATACTTGCTTTGTTACTTCATTTATCAAATTTTTTTCATTTAACTTCAAACTTTATTTTTCATTTTTTTTCCCATTTAACTTCAAACTTCATTTTTTTCCCCCCATTTAACTTCGAACTCATTTTTTTTTCATTTAACTTTAGACTTCATTTTCTTTCATGTCTTTTAATTTACAGTGTATTTATAAAAAAACAACAACTTTAAAATTGAATACAGATACAAGGCCATTTATGTTGTTTCCAGAAAAAACTATTTTTGCAGCTTCATAGCAGTTTTCAAATTGCCAACCTTGTAGAAATAATCGCAGACATGTTGCCAAGGTGACAGAAAAATAAATAAACAGAACAAAAGAAAACAACTCTTCACATGGTTTAATCAGTTTTCATAAAATTTACATCATTTAAAAGAAGAATTTGAGGAAAAAACTGATGTAAAATTTCTTTTTTTGTTATATAGAAACAGAGATCTTTGTTTTTTTTATTTTTGTTTACATTGTTTATGTACAAAAAAAAAAAACAAACAAAAAAAACAAAATCAACTGAAAATTTTCCAGTGCCAAATATATACTTGCATTTGAAATTCAATCAATTAATAACATTTAATAAACGTTTCAATATGGATTCATTGATTAATGAATTTACTTATAAAAAAAGTTAACTTTGTCAAAAACAAACCATATTATTTACATTTGGACTATTGTCCCTATCTTTGTTGTTGTTATCACAACTTTCCACCCATTATACCCTTTGGCCTTCTTAAGGTGTCTATCAATTCAGGTAACCTTTAGGGAATTTCAAACTGAACCCTTTATTTAATTAATGGGGATAGATTGTTCTTCTTCCACTGTTGATGCCTAGTTTCTCATCTTCTTTCGTTTTAGCGCTGCTCAGTTTCTGTTCGCGCCGTTTCCACAGAGTCTAGGTCTGTACTACTCGGCCCAGGGATTGAACTCACAATTACTATGTCACCCAATTCAAACACTTTAAAGCTCCTGGCTATTGCTGTGGTTGAAATGCTGTGATAAAGATGAGGACATTTAATGTAAATAACATAAATAAGGAAAACTTCTAAACCCAGAAGGAAATAAACTAAATTAGTTGACTTTTTTTTTTTTATACCGAAGTACCCCACCCCCAGTCAATTTTATGACAGATATCAAACTAAACTGAAAGATGTTAATATTTTTAAAAGATAAGTTTCCAAAGAATTTAAATAAATTTAATCTTTTTGTACCTAAGTACCCCAACCCAGTCAATTTTATGACAGATATAAACATCTTTCAGTTTAGCTTGATATCTGTCAAAAAATCGACTGGAGGTGTATGGTGTGTGTGTGTGTGGGGGGTAATTAGGCATAAAAAAATTAAATTTATTTAAATTCTTCAGAAACTTATTTTTTTAAAATATAAACATCTTTCAGTTTAATTTGATATTTTAAAAAAATAAGTTTCCAAAAAATTTAAATAAATTTGATTTTTTTATACCTAAGTACCTCCACACCCCCAGTCAATTTTATCAAGCTAAACTGAAAGATGTTTATATTTTAAAAAGATAAGTTTCCAAAGAATTTAAATAAATTTAATTTTTTTCCCCAAAATTAAACTGATGAAGGGTAATCAATGTGAAAATTTAAAAAATTGTGATATAAAATAAAATACCATAATTCACCATGTATAATACACCTTCATCCATAATACACACCCCTAAAATTGTGCTGAAAGTGTGGGGAAATGCTTCTACTTGTGTATAATATGTACCCTTTATTTGGTAATCAAACCCTATAAATTGTACCTCTCCAATTTCATTACAACCAGTGTTTCCTACTCTTATTTAAAAAAATGATTTAAACATAGAATAATATTATTCTAATTTCATTTTATGATAATTCTTATTTTATTTTACATCTGTAACTATTGTTAGGTACATATGACAGTATTTGAATTCCTTATGAGGTCGCAATCGCTGAATGTTAGTGTCAAATTTTTATATGTTTGTGGTGGGTAGTCATTTCAAGACTGAAAACCTATGAAACGGCAATTTTAAAAAAAATTTTTTTTGTAACTGTGCATAAAACACACCCCTAATTTTGCTTATTTTTTAGAAAGAAATGCATATTATACATGGGGAATTATGGTACTTCTTTGTTTAGAAGCTTTTTAAAATAAATTGTAGACTTACAATGTGTGAAATGAAAAACATTATCCACCTTTTTATCATTTTAAGGATAGTATCATTTAATTTTCAAGTACTTAAGCTTTTTGTTTAGAAAGACTGAAAATTCATGCTAACTCTGATCCTATAGTTTCCAAAGGAATGATCTAGTATCTGTAGCTACTTGGAGTCATAGAAAAACATTTTTGAAATTAGTTAATTTTTGGTGGTAATGACAAAAGTAAAAGAAAATTATTTAAAATGACCACATGGCTATTTCACCATATCACTAAAATTCTACTTTATACAGGAGAGAGGTTTGTTTTACTCATATGAAATGTAGGTAGCAAGTCATTAGAGAAAAAAAATAAAAAATGAAAAAACAAAATAAAAACAAAATAAAAAAATAATAAAAAAAATAATCATAAAAAAGATAATAAAAAAAAAAATAATAATAAAAAAAACAAAAACATCTTCCAAAATGATTTTTAAAATTATCCGGCAGTTATAAAACTTTTTTGTTTTTGCTTAAGATTTAAAACTAAACTAAATTAATCTAAAACCTCAAAATGAATTTTTTTTAAAAGAAAAGGAAAAAAAATGAAAAAGTGAAATATCAATTACGAATATTAAAAAAAAATAGTTTTAATTTAAAAAAAAAAAAAAAAAAATTATACTATTGACAATGTTGAGATAAATATATATATATATATATATAAAAAAAAATTAAAAGCCTAAAACTCCATTTTTTGTGCTTTCTTGTATTTTCTTTCAGCTTGACTACCGCTTACTGGATCCACATTCTAGAAAAAAAGACAATGACTTGAATAAAACAGATCACTAGAGAGAATTGATGAACACATACAATGCTGATAATTATGGTGGCAAAAAATGAATTCAAAGAAAACCTCAGAATAACAACTAATAATTTTGCTAGATTTGCCTTCAATAAGCAATTATAATTAACTTAATTACAATTAACAGTAGATAAAGTAATAACAATAATTCAATTATTATGATCCAAATGTTCAATGAGGCCGGCCTTAGTTTTACTTGTCAAAACATTGTGATGAGATTGCGTCACCATTTTAGTCATATGTTTTATTCAATTGTCTACCTCCAGACCTGTGCGTTCGGTAAACAGTAGTCAAGCCTTTCTTTCTACATATTTGTTTTTCATTTCTACCAAGTATTTCACCATTATTATTTATTTGAAGATCTGATTGCAACTAAATCAAATCATGCTGAGCAGTTGAAATGAAAGCAGCTGCAATGGTGCTCATCAAATGATGTCTTAGACCAAAGGCAAGTGTATCTCTCTCGCGGGTGCATGGTTACTTCTTTTCCACAATTACATGGTAGGCCCTTAATTGGTCTCTGCTACGCCGTTTGAAGAAGCCGCACTGTTTAAAAAAAGAATGAAAAGAAGAGATGTTAAATTACTTTGATTGTTATGGTTAGCATACATCGAGGAAATACAGGCTTCACATCATGTGTAAAAATCTAAACACAACTCAATTTAACGTGTTTCAAAATGGAAAATTAACTTCACTGAACTTGGTTGATTTCTACTTCATTTTTTGGCCAAAAACAAACCATATAAAAATATGCTATTTACTTGATTCAACCATGTGCATTGAATACTACTGTTATACTGGATCTGGTGCTCATGCTATTTATCGTGAGGTTCTTGACAAAATCCAAAGAAAGATCTGTAATGTAATCGATCCTGATTTGGTATCTCGACTCCATGTGCCATGGCTTCCCTCTGTCTTTTCTATAAATATTTTCATGGCAACTGCTCTGACAAGTGTTTTTCCCTGGTGACCTGACTATATGAATTTAATCATGCCACTAGATTGGCATTCCCAATAATTCCCAAGGAGAGAAGGTAGTTAAAATAACAGCAGTGTCAAGGGAGAAACTGTCCTTTTTTTGGGGGCATGAAAGTCAAATATTGCCGAATTGTATTTACTAGAAAAGTTGTTTCTTTAATTGCTTTCACACTTCTGTGGAACTCCCTTCCATTTACTTGTTTCCCTGATGGCGACAATCTTGAAAAATTTAAATGCAACGTCAATTGCCATCTGCTATCTTCTGGCATGAAAGTCAAAGATTACTGAATTGTATTTACTAGGCATGTTGTCTTTCAATTGCTTTCACACTTCTGCCATTTCTACAAATATTTTCATGGCAACTGATTTGACAAGTGTTTTTCCCTGGTGTGCTATCTAGGTCCTACTGTTTAGTTGAAATAGCTGAACGCAACCGCCTCTTCTATTCCAACACTTTCCACCTGGGAAACACCCTTCCGTTTACTTGCTTCCCTAACAGCCACAATCTTCAAAAATTTAAATGCAACATCACGCTCTTCTATCTTCTTGAATCCCATTCATCTAATGTCCTTTCCACAATCCACCCTATACTAAGTCTTTTCTTTCACTCTCTGTAACCCCCTGCGTACTAGTGGCATTCCTACCTTGCTTGGAGTGAAGTGATTAAAAAAAAACAAAAAACAAATATAGAAATGGAGCAATTATACTGAATCAATTGCTAAGTCTACTGCTAGAAAAATTGGTTCACTGCATTGCAATAGTGCAATTTTTTTCATCAGAATCCATCTTGCACATTTATAAATCTACCATTCTTCCATGCAGTGAATACTGCTGCCATATCTGGTCTGCTGCTCTTGTAATATATCTTGAAATTCTTGACTAAATCCAAAGGGAGAATCTGTAATGTTAACTGTCCTGACATCTCACTTTCCCCATTAGCATGACCTGTCTTCGCTTTGTCTTTTCTATAAATATTTTCATGGCAATTATTTTAATGATCTCCTTTACTTGGTACGTTGACCAGATCAATTTAAGCATATGGCTAGATTGGCAATTAGGTCCCATCGTTTTACTACTGAAATAGCTAGATGCAACCGTAAGTTCTATTCTAATAGTTTCTTTTCTTGCACTTATTGCCTTTCGTCTTTTTGATTTGCTGCCACCTGCGATTTTCAAAAATTTAAATGCAATGCCAATCACCAAATTCTACTTTCCTTTAATTGGGGCAAGCAATGGCTTGTGAATTTTAATGCCTCCAACAGGAAACGGCTATCTTTTAATCATCATAGAGAATTATTTTTGCCATCCATCAGTATGGCTGATGCTAACCCCCAAGAGAGCAACACATTGCAGTCTGGTCCCATGTTTTCCACTGACACAAAGTAGAGTGATAATATTGAAACAATTGCTAAGTCTACTGCTAGGAAAGTTGGTTTACAATCTTTCTTGATAGAATGCATCTTGCACATTTATAAATCTACCATTTGTCCTGCCATATCGAATCTAGTGCTCCTGTTGTACATCTCGATATTCTTGACAAAATCCAAAGAAGAGTCTTTCATGCCCTTGCTATCATCAGACAACTGTCTAATGATCACAAAGGCATGAAACCAAGGGTCACAAACTCACATCAATATAACTGTGTGTGTGTGTGTGTGTGTGTGTATATATATATTAGTACAGAGGCATGGTGGAGTAATGGTTAGCAGCTTGGATTGAGAAATCAGAGAGCTGAGTTCGAATTCCAGTCAAATCTGTTATCTTCACTTACGTGCTAATACCCTTGGGAAAAATATGAATCTTCTTCTCCCTTCAGCTATGGATAAATAGCAGGGTAGATTGGGTTCTATAGCCTTGGATGGCAACTAGTCTAGGAAAAGGACAACTCTGAATTCAAAACCTGTGGAGGGTCATTTGGGGACCTTGTGGCATGTAGTGCACCAGGTCTCTGTATGGATGGTTCTGTACAAAACCTTCACCACTATAATCAAATCTCATGTGCTGGTGTTGGGCAGTCGGTTCATAGGAAATGATCTGT